TTCCTACTAGAAATTGTCCAAAACAAATGAAAAACATAGTATGGGCAGCTAAAACCGGTGCCAATCTTAATCTACATATGTCCCCTGCAATATGTATAGCGCCCAGCGAAATTGGTGTGTAACACCTAAAAACCTTCCCTTGTTAGCAAAATTTTGATGATTGGGAAAAGAGGGAAGAGAGGAGGGGGGAGTGGAGAGAGGGGGTGGAGTGGGGGAGTGGAGTGGGGGAACTGGCCCAGCTCGAGTGACTTCTGTGACTCGTTTCGCGGGCCCACCCGAGCTCCCACCTGACTTAAGTGACTTGTAGAGGCTCAGGAAAATCCGTCTCCCCGGAGAACAATAGCATTCCTGAGCTTTGTGACTTATTTGCGACTCGTGTGACTAGTTTTTTCGCCTCGGGATGTCAAGGCTGGAATTGAAAACCTAAAGTTGAAAAGTGAAGAGTTAAAGATCACTAAGATTTGCATTCCAAAACTGGCAAGTGGCCTGGATAACGTAGAGTAAGGTTTGTAAGCTACTAAAAAAGACCTTCAAAACATCCATCATTAAAATAATTGTTGTTACTACAAGAACTGATCAATTAGATCAATTCAAGGAAAGGACTGAAAAAAATAATATTTAAAAATTCTAAAGCAAACAAAATAAAATAGTAGTACTGGGTGACAGCCATATGAAGGGCTTACAACCAAACATAAAAACTCACGGATGATCTGATAGTAGAAGCTTGTGCCGATGGTGGAGCTAATTCATCACAAGTACTAAACGATCTAAATCTAGTGACATTAGAACTAGAAGATGAAGACTTTCTAGTAGAAATGACAGGAGCTAACGATCTTCTAACATCCCTCAAAGGCGATCTAATAGGAAAGTCAATACATGAAAATTCTAGAAAAAACCTATGTTCACAAGCCAAACACACAAATGGATTTGATTCTTTATTGATTCTCTCAACAACCCATAGGTTTGATAATCCTAATCCCAATGTGAACAAAAATTAAATTAATAAAATAATTAAATTAGAAGAACTTATTACAAATGAAAAATCTTCTGTTCCCCAAAAAACCACAGTTTGTGGATGTCAACGAACAACTAAAAAAAGAACATTATGGAAAAAAAGGTCTCCATCTTAATGAAAGTGGAAAGAAAGAGGTAGCAAAAATAATAGTTCAGGAACTAAGTACCTTCCCAAGCGATGAAGAATGCTACACTTTCAAGGAGCTTGACTCGGTTTTTCATTTAAAAAAGCAGAATTGCAGACAAGAAATAACAATTATCTCTCTTAACAGAAGATCAATAAGGAATAAAAGAAACTTCTCACAAAGTATTCTTGGAAATAATAATGTTGATGTTGCAATAATAACAGAGCATCGGCTCAATGATGGAGAACTAAACAGTCGAGTCATTTAGGGTTAAAATGAAACCGCATCCTTCTGCAGATAAAACTCCAGAGAGGGAGGAGTTTTAATTCTGATCAAGAACAACTAGAGATGAACGACATGTTCGCATTCGAACGAACTCGAACAAACATCGAGCTGTTCGTGTTCGCTCGAAAATGTGGTGTCCGGATTCGAAATGTTCGAGTACTACTCGAACAGAAGTTCGTAGGCCAACAAATTTGTAGTGTGTTTCAGGAAGACGAGTCATATTTGGGTGTAATTAAGGGGGCAATGGCAGGTTAACAGATAACTAAAATTTTAAACGTTAATGTAACTATTGTAAACCAGCGTGGATAGTAATTTTAACTAGTAAGCAAAAAAACTAAATAATGCATTCATTGTTCGTGATCGGATCGAATTTAAACATTACATTGTTCGGTTCGGTTCGTTCAGAAAAAAATAAGGCTGTTCGTGTTTGAGTTCGTTTAAAGATTTTTAGACCAAATTTGTTCGAGTGTGTCTCGGGTGTCAGCGATGCAGGCCTAGCTATATGTGCGCCAGGCGCGTCGCAGCGTAATAGTGTTTCGTGATATATCGCGAAGCCTGTAACGCGAGACGTAGTCTGGCGTACATATATCTAGTATTTTATTTGTAACAACTGTTGCGAAAATGTCATCCGTTTGCCTGTATTTCTAACCGTTGAGGCGCTGGAGGGAGTTTTCTACACTATAATGACCGCAAAACATGTTTTTTCTCAGATATTTGATGGTCTCCGGTGGGGTAACTCATCAAAATGAAACCCCGAAAAAAAAATGTGACTTAAGGGTCCGAAGGCCTATTTTCGACTCTGCCTTTTGCCCGACTGGGGTACCCTGAAAATTTCAAGTATCTAGCACATCTCCCTCCAGTAGAACAGACACACAGACACACCGACGCGAGGACGTTTGCATAAGCCCGCTGGATAACTTCTTCAAAGAAGAAGGGCGGGCAAAAAAAAAAAAAGATCGAGTTCGAAGAAGAGCATTCTAGCTCAAAAATTGGGGATTTCAAACAAATCAAAAACCACAGGTCCCACAAATAATATCTGGCGTACATCTACCTAGTGTTACTGGCTGAGCGATCAGCGAAACCTATTACTCCAATGATGATCAAAGAGTTTCGCGTCTGTTTGTCTGTCATCACGATAACTTAAGAACGAATTGAGCTAGCGACCTGGGATTTTTAGGGTCGTTTTGTGTCATAACAAGCAGGCCCGCCCTTCCGCCAAACGGAGTTGCCAGCTCCGCTTCGCTCCGTCGGCAACTCCGCTTCGCTCCGCCGGCAACTCCGCTTCGCTCAGCCGGCAACTCCGTTTGGCAGGGGCCGGGCCTGCTTGGCCTGCCGGCAGCGATGGTCGGACCTGCGGCCCGACCATTTTCGTCACGCGATTGGCTGAAGAGCATAACCAAACGATGTAACGGGCCTTCGGCCCGCTAAAACCCGGCGTCTTTAAAATTTGCCCCGTAGACATGAGAAGGGGATGTAACAGTGCGAAGCACCGCGACTAAAACCCACCCTTCTCCTTAGAAATGTTTCCTTTTTTGGAGGGGGGGGGGGTGGAGTTCCTTTTCTCTTTTGAGGTTTTTAGGCCTTCTTCTACAACTCGTTCCTTACAGCAATTTTTAGCTTATTTTCGTCAAAAAAGACCCTCCAGCGGCTAAACGGTTAGAGACGAAATTTTCGCCCTAACGGCTCTTCTTTGAAGACCCGGGTAGCGCGAGATGGGATACTTTTGCGATTGCTATGTCATTTTGAGTATGGCAAGTTGATGAGAAAGCGAGCGGATAATAATTGCGAAACTGGAAAATGACAAGCTGTATGGCAAAACCATGCAAATAATGATGGTAAACCGTTTGCAATCCAGACGGCTTGGTTTTGTCATTTTTAGCCAGTTAAATCTGCAGTTTACATGGCTAAAATATGACATGATTATTGCACGCTCGAGCCGTTCCCGGGAGGGCGCTTCTGCGGCGGTGCCAAATTTCTATTTCTATGACGTCACAACGTCACGTGGTTCCGCACCACCCCCGCGCACCGTTCAACATGGCCCCTGCTGCCATACCTCTACTTTCATTGCCCGTTTTCGGCCTCTATTCCAATTAGTTCGACAAAACTGCCAAGGGGGAGAAAAAGAAAGGGGCAGAAACGTTTCATTTTAACTCAAATTTATTGAGATATTAAGTCAATAGCATCCTATGTGTAACCAAAATATATTGGTAATACTTCAAAATTTGAACAGTATCGCAAAAATTAGCCCAAAAACATATTTTGAATAATCGTTAAATTAGTTCTAAGAAAACAGAAAAAAATGAAGAAATAAATGAGATTATTAGTCACAACCATTGTTTTAATAGACTAGAAAAAAATAATACAAAAAACAACCATAAATATTAATTAATATTAATACACAGTTCTCACTACTCAATTTAAATAACCGCTGTAAGGAAGAGTTCGTTCAGATCTGCATGGTCCAGCATAGAGGTGGTCTGATGCAAGCTGTTGACTGTGGTTGGCAGTTTTCAAGTCAAAAAAATGTGGTGACTGCGACCGATCAGAGGACACTTCGGGCATTTCATAAATTAAATCAGACAGAGTTGACATTAGGGAGTCATCACTTCCTTCGTTTTGGACAGTCTCGGTGTGGCCTAGGAAGGCGTCCTGACTATTGTCAGCCGTCCTGAGGACTGGAGCAGCCTCCACGATTCCTGGAGCAGCTGGCAGTGGTACTAGATGAGCAGGTAGGGGTGCTTGAACATCTGGCAATGGTGCTGGAATATTATCTGGCAGGGATGCCGGGACGTTCTCTGGCTGGCGACAGAGGATTCTAGTCACTTGAGAATAAATCTGCCACCATCCACCAATGATATGAATGTATGAAAATACTTCCATTGTATTGCAAAGAAGAGCATTCATTTTGGTAGACCGGTTAATATATCTTCTTTTCAGAACCCCCTCCGTTAGTTTTGCTGCTGAACAACCACTGCTGGAGAATACTGCCAGCTCTGTAAGCAAAAACCCCAACCCAACTACTTCATTGACTGTTTTCGATGAGCATGAGCAACTTTGTCAGTCGGCTGAAATTGAGATTCCACTATTCGGTGCTGGTGTGGCATCGGAATTAAAAATATTTTTTGATGGTTTACTAAGAGGTAACTCGTCAGGTCTGTCGTACGTATAGCTATTACTTACTGAGTGGCTCATGAAGAAAGTAACCGCATCTTCCATGTAGACAGCGATGTTCTCCAATGCCTCATAGTTTTTTCCATCCAAACAAGACAGTGTCCTCAAAAATGTGAATTTGATGCCTTTTAATTTATCTTCTACAATAGATTTGGCTTGTTCTTTTGTAAGGACACTTTCGTTTAACGTATATCGGTATACATATTGCCTGGGCATTGCCTCTACTACATTCTGCTTAATAAGTTGTTCAAGCGCTTTAACTATAACATCAGAGGTCACATACTTTTTCTCAAGGAGCCGAAGAGTGGCACATTGCACGACTCGAATCACCTGAAGGTAGTATTAATTTGATTAGTCAAGTCATACTAGGTTGCTCTACGCCAGTTTAGCAGAGCACTATTGGTAAGTTTTATCTAGAACGTACATCGTCAAGTTTCGCTTTGGGTGGACGCCGACCGGCCTCACCCCTTCGCCGAACCAAGCATTTTGACAGGACGAACACAGCTGCGGCGGTGGCGGCCTCTTCTTTACTTAGTTCTGTTGATGGGGCCCCGTCCACAATATACTGCGCAGCACTTTTAAGAAGAGCTGTCAGTTCAAAATCTAGGTCTGAAAAAAAGGGAAAAATGTATTTACCATTTACGTATGTATCCGAAGATGTAACTACAATATCTTGGAAACAAGTGACCCTTCGTACTAACTAGCCAGGACCTGCGGTCCCTATGCTGAGCTCGCGAAACAGCCCCATACAATTTAGCAGAAAAATTTTCATCCTTAGTAAATCTAGTAGATTATTTATTGTAATAATAATGGCCCCGGCAAATACTTTCATTCCATAGCATGTAGGAAACTTGGCAATTGTGTCCACTGCTCTGCAAAACCCACAGCCTACATCGTTGCGTCATCACGCGGCTGCCATTGGCCCCTTGCAATTAGGCAACCAAATCTACACGTTTCCTTTGCGGGTTTGCCTAATCACACAGCTGTATGCGTCTACAGCGCACTCTATTGCAAAGCCCTCAACTAGGCTCGAGCGACATTAACGACAACTGCGCATGCGCAATAAACGTTTTCGAAATAAAATTGATATGGCGGAATGTTTGAACCATGGAAACCATTATTTCGTCATTTAACATGATAATTTCTTCCCCTAATTATTTTCAACACTAAGTTTGATCATCTCAAGGTAAATAGTCCCATTATCTTTATTGCACCAATATTATTTTCTTTATGCTCTTATTGTCTTCTTGTGGCATTTTCTAATTTTCAGAACTCATCAGTCCTAAAAATGTCCTTGTTAAACAACAGAGCATTGCTGTTTGTTCTGTTGTTTTTATAGAACTTCTTCGGTTTATTGGCTGTAAGTTTTATTTGGTATTTTACTTGTTTAACATAGAATTATCTTGAAAATATACTTAGTCTTTTATCTAGTGTTTATGATGTACTAACTGACATGATGAATAATTCTTAGTAATTTCTTAAGTTTAAACCTGTTTTTAACACAGTTTTCTTTAATAGGCAATGGCAGATAAAAATCCTGCTGAACAAGTTGAAAATTTGAGGCGACGTAACAGAAACACCAAAAATCAAAGAAAACGTAGAGCTACTATGACAGAAGATCAAATAGCAAAGAAACGTGCATATGATAGGACTCGTTATTATGAAAAGAAGAAAATACAGTCTTCTTCTTTACCTGTTCCTGATACTTCTCTTGATAATGATTTTCAATCTTCAAGATTAAGAGTATCACAATTTAAGAAAAGAATTGAATTTGAGATGAATTTCTACAGCATAGAGTCTGAGCATTTACTTTTTGAAAAGAAATTAGAAGCTTTGCATATTGTGGAGTGTAATGAATGTGATACATTTTATTGGAGCAGTCGTGGTACATGTTACTGTAACATTTCCTCAGATGTTGTTCGACTTTTTCATGAAATTGGAGAAGTTCCAGAAGAATTGAAGGAATTATCATATGTTGAAGAGTTACTCATTAGTAAGGTTCATCCTATGATATCAATATATAGATTGAAAGGTGGACAATATGCTTATAAAGGCAATGTAATCAACTTTCGCCAAGATGTTGCTTCTTTTTGTAAGGAGCTTCCTCATTCAGTTGCCGTTCTCAATGGCTTAATATCAGTATGTTGTAATACTCAATGCTTCCATCAAGATTTCCTTATTCGGAGAAATAAAGTTTCCATTGCTCTTCATTGGCTAAAATTGAATAATGTTTATTACCATGACATAAGCATTGATTTAGATAAAATACTTAAACTCCCAGAAAAGGGATATTATAGTAATCTTGTCAACATCCCTGTTGTTGATGTAGATAATCCAATCACTGATGCTAATGAGTCTTCTGAAATAGATAGAGTAGTTGTTCCAGGTACAGTTATTTCTTTTTATAAAATAAATT